ATCTCTAGTCAACACACCCTCCTCACTACCTTTCCACCACCCACCATTTTAAGGCCATTCTTGATACTCATTTTTACAGAGTAGGGACAGGGCCACCCTCAAAATGTCCTCGCACAATTCTGTATGGGACAAATTGTCCTAATAAGGTACTAACTCAACAAGAACAAATTGAACTTCTGTGTGACTTACCTAAGGCTCTGTTCTTCAAGCATTTCCACACATAACAGGTAAAAAGTGTCTGCACATATTTTGGGAACCCATTTGAACACATGATGACAAACTGTTCTATTTTTAAAAGCTGTAAAGGCAATCTCCTCTATTAGCTGCGCACTCCTGAGATTTTTTATTTCTCTGAAAGATGACCAGTCCTTTACCAAATTAGACCTTGAAGTTACTGTTTTTATCTCACCAATGCTCCTATTAGTGGTCCCACTGAATTCTCTTTAACCCTGACCCAATCTACTTCCTCTTCCCTACCATCACTGACTCAACCTTGGTTCAAGCTCTCCTTATCTTTTCTCAATACAATACTAGCCTCCATGTTTCTATATTTAACTCCCTCTCAATCCATCTTTGCATACTACCTGCTGAGTTACCTAATTTGAACCCCCCTGTTTAATTCTTTCATTGACTTCCAGAATAAATCCAAACTCTTGCATAGTATGCAAGCCCTTCTGTGACATAGTCACATCTGAATCATCTAGGTTCCTCTGGGTCATCTCTTTCCATACTTTCTTTTAACCTCTCAAATTCTACTCTTACACAACATCCTCCCATCCCCTTGAAAAAGCTCCACCCTCTCAGGCCTCTAGAACTTTGTGAGTGTTGCAACTTCTGTTTAGAAGGCCACTGCTCATCTCTCAACTAATTCCTACTCGTATTTTAAGAATTAGGAAAATTACCTCAAAAAGGGGAAATTGCCTCCGACTCACGAGTTTGGATTAGGTGTCCTTGCCATGAACTTCCATAACACTCTGAGCTTTCACTCTGTCACAATACTTAATATCTGTACTATAATTTTCTCCAAATCTACCTCGAACAACTTGAGGGTGGGACTGTATCTTTGTGTCCTACAGTTCTTACTACACATTAGGTGTTCAAAAAAATTTTAAGACTTTATTTATATATTTTAATATATTATTATGCTATTACAGTTGTCCCATTTTTCCCCCTTTATTCCCCTCCACCCTGCACACCGCCTCCCACCTGCATTCCCCCACTTTAGTTCATGTCCATGGGTCATACACGTACGTTCTTTGGCTTCTATATTTCCTATACTATTCTTAACATCCCCCCCATCTATTTTCTATGAACCATCTATGCTACTTATTCTCTGTACCTTTTCCCCCTCCTCCTCCCACTTCCCTGTTGCTAACCCTCCATGTGATCTCTTTTTCTGTGATTCTGTTCCTGTTGTTTGCTTACTTTTTTTTTTTTTTAGGTTTGGTTGTTAATAGCTGTGAGTTTGTTGTCATTTCACTGTTCATATTTTTATCTTCTTTTTCTTAGATAAATCCCTTTAATATTTCATATAATAAGGGCTTGGTGATGATGAACTTCTTTAACTTGACCTTATCAGGGAAGCACTTTATCTGCCCTTCTATTATAAATGACAACTTTGCTGGATAGAGCGATCTGGGATATAGGTCTCTGCCTTTGATGACCTGGAATACTTCTTTCCAGCCCCTTCTTGCCTGCAAGGTTTCTTTTGAGAAATTAGCTGACAGTCTAATGGGAACTCCTTTGTAGGTAACTGTCTCCTTTTCTCTTGCTGCCTCTAAGTTTCTCTCCTTATCTTTAATCTTGGCTAATGTAATGATGATGTGCCTTGGTGTGTGCTTCCTTGGGTCCACCTTCCTTGGGACTCTCTGAGCTTCCTGGACGCCCTGAAAGTCTATTTCCTCTGCCATATTGGGGAAGTTCTCCTTCATTATTTTTTCAAATAAGTTTTCAATTTCTTTCATTTTCTTTTTTTTAAAGATTTTATTTATTTTTTAGAGAGGGAAGGGAGGGAGAAAAAGAGAGAAACATCAATGTGCGGTTGCTGGGGGCCGTGGCCTGCAACCCAGGCATGTGTCCTGACTGGGAATCAAACCTGCGATGCTTTGGTTCGCAGCCTGCACTCAATCCACTGAGCTACGCCAGCCAGGGAGTTTTCAATTTCTTGGTCTTCCTCTTCTCCTTCTGGCATCCCTATGATTCGGATGTTGAAACGTTTAAAGATGTCCTAGAGGTTCCTAAGCCTCTCCTCATTTTTTCGAGTTGTTTCTTCATTCTCTTCTGGTTGAATGTTTCTTTCTTCCTTCTGCTCCAAACCCTTGATTTGAGTCCTGGTTTCCTTCCCCTCACTGTTGGTTCCCTGTAGATTTTTCTTTATTCCACATAATGAAACCTTCATTGCTGCCTGGGTCTTTTTTATGCTGTAGAAGTACCCAGTGAGTACCTGGAGCATCCTGATAACCAGTGTTTTGAACTGTGCATATGATAGGTTGCCTATCTCTTTGTTGCTTAGTTTTATTTTTTTTGGAGCTTTGAATTTTTCTTTCATTGGGTCATTTAAGGCGGGGGGGGGTATCTGGGTGTGCCTGTTACATAGTAAGGGGTGGAGCCTTATGTGTTCACCAGGGTGATGCAACCCAGGTCACAACCCAAGTGACCCTGTATGTAGGGGGGGATCTGAGAGGGAACAGTGCTGTTTGCTCTGCTCTCGCCTGTTTTCAGTCACTCCCCCTGCTACCCACAATCAAATTGGGACCTTCTGGTGCTGACTGCTGGGTGGGTGGGCTTTGTGTACATTCTAGGACCCTGTGGGTCCCTCCAAGAAACTTTCCTGTGAGGCTGGGAGTTTCTCTTGCTGCTGCCTCAACCCCCACAGGTGTTTTCTGTCAGAGGCTTTGAGGCTTTATTTGCCTGCACAGGAACCCTGGGTTGAACCCTGTCTCGCTCCCCAGTTGTTCCTCGCAGTTTATCTGCACACAAATGTGGGACCATCCAGTCCACAAGCCACCACCTTGCCCAGTCTGCCAGCCACCCCCTTGCCTGCCCTGGTCCTCCAGCTGCTGCCTTGCTGCAAGTCCTCTCCACCCAGCAGCCTATCTCCGTCCCCCCTACCAGTCTGGATAAATGTTTTTCTTTAAGTTCTTGGTTGTTGGACTTCCAACAGTTCAATTTTCTGTCAGTTTTGGTTATTTTTTGTTTTGAAATTTGTTGTCGTCCTTCTTTTGGTTGTGGGAGGAGGCACAGTGTGTCTACCTACGCCTCTATCTTGGCTGGAAGTCCCAAAAAAGTTTTTGGATGCACCTCTGAGAAAGGAACTTATTGGTCACAATACAAATTGCTTTTCATTTGCAGTTTCTCTTGTGACCCCACACACTTGCTCTCCTTTCTAAATCTATCATGCACGTCTGTCAGTATAAACTTCAAATTACCTCTTTCAAGGTCCTTCCCTTCTAAGAAACTTTTGTCTCCCTATTGTCTATGACAGTAAGTCTAGACATCTGGATCTGGCTTTCAAAAGTCTAATTACCTGTTTGGACTTACTTGCTCTACTTTATTTCCAGTCCCTATACTCCTTTATCTCTGGTCACTTCAAATATTCTGCCTTCACTTTTCCTATTGAAATCCCACTTGTCCTTTCAAGATCCTGCTCAATAACCACTTCCTCACTAAAGTCTTCTTTGGCTCTTCAAACATATATTGAATATTTAGCTTGTCACTTATCTGGGCACTTACATGTCATCTTGTTGGGATGTAACCATTTCCTGGGTAGGCCTTCTTTCTTCCACAGAATGATTTAAGTTCCTGGGGGTGAAGGGAAGGGCAGGAATCATATACATTTTGGTATCAATGCAACAATAATGATTCAATTTTTAAAAAGTAATAATATATTGTACCAACAAAGTGAAAGCCACCCAAATATAGAATTTGGCCTTTAATTTGAAAAACAGTAGAAAGTAAAGAGGAAGATTAATCACTAGCTTAAATTAGTCCTTTGAAAAGAAGGATGTTAACTTGGAAGATGAATCAGATGGGCACAGGTGTAAATAAGAATAATTTTACTTGTGGTTATTGAAACAATCAACAGGTCATTGTTATACATATTTTCCTGGTCATCATATTTTCTGTAAGGACATTTAATTACCATCTTAAATATGACCATAGTAGGTTCTGTACAGAATTACAATGGTACCCTATAACATACTATACATTGTAAGATTTGGAATGTGAATCAAAAGGAAAAAGGTATCCCAAATCTATTATCTCTAAAATGTTATTTAAGGTGACACAGAGCCAATAGAAGTAGGCTATGCTTTTCTTCAAGCAAAAATTCTTTTCGCATGTAGGTTAAGTGATCTAGTACTCTTCAATCATGGTTGTCCTATGGATGGACACAGGATTCTACTCCAGGACACTTCGTTAATACACTGAATTAACATAGAGTCAAAAACTCTTATCCCATTTTAACAAGGCCTCCTGAAAATACAAAGATCTAACTAAAAAGATTATTTAATGATGTGAAGCACGAACAGAATGTTAGGCCCATAGAGACTGTTGTTTTTGTACCTGGGAGCTTTTCAGTAACTTCAGGTTGCTTCAAGTTCTTAGACACTACCACTGAGCCATTTTCATTTTTGAGTTTCTCATGCCATAACCAGAGACTGAAAACTGTAGTTCAAGGCAAAATGGAAAATACATTAGAATCTCATTTTTAACAGTTCTGTGGCTTTGAACAATGTATTTAACCTCTCTGAGCCACAGTTTTTAAATTTATAAAATGAGGACAGTAATATGTATTCAATATGATTACTGGGAGAAATAACTAAGACAGTGTCTGGCATATAGTAGGTGTATAACTGTTACTGTAATGTTAGCTGATTTTTTTGATGTATCACACTGAATGATGAAAAGTCATATTAGAACATTTAATATCTTTATGCAAAATACCTAGATTATTACACTATTGATCATAATTTCTGGTGACATAAAATCAACAGATACGATTACTGTTGTCATTAATATGATCTTTAATAAATGGAATAATGCACCATTTACAGCAAGCCTTTTTTAAACCTAAAGAACTGTCTTAAAATCTCCTTCTCCAATGTCTCTATATCAATACAATCTTTTTGTTTAGGTTTATATATATCAAAGCGTTACTTACAATTATTCATAGAAAACTCTTTAGTGGCTTAATGTCAGCTTTCATAGTGGCATCCATAGATAATACAAAAGAAAAGTGATTTGCTTTATTTCATACACTGACCCATCAAACACAACTTATACAGCATAGCAAGGTCTCAGACAGCTATACAAAAGCAAAATAACTGAAATTATTCATAAATTCATATATGATATCTTATCTGTAAGAGAAAAACACACCAACAAAAGATACCCGTTAACAAGAAAGAGGGTTCTGAGGAACTGACAATATTTTTCAGCCTTTCTTATTCCAGAAAAGCATCCTCAGAAATGAATACTCTGTAGCTTCTCTCTCATGTCTGTTCAGAAAAGCATGGCAGCTACACATCTCCGTGTTTCAGCTACAACACCCTAAGTTAGTGTATTTTACAATTATTCACTTATCTTCATTTGAAAACTATCAACAGAAGATTAAGGATGATTCCAGCTTATACGAACACTTATACAATATAATCTCCATGACAACAAGGCATAAAAAAACTGTTTAAATAAATAAATGTGACCAGAAAAAGAGAAGCCACAGAAGCCAAGCAATTCAATGTTAAACTAGGACCTATCTTTGAATTGCATCTTTTAGTAATTTAGTTTTCTCTTATTGTTAAAATTTTTTAAAAATGTGTTTCCCTACCACACTTACAAGGATTGGTAATAAGGTGGAGAGCCTGAGACAAGAGACTGGTTACAAATAATTTTACTGCTAGGATTTTAAGTATATACCATACCAATTTGGGGCCTGAACTTACCTTTTAAAGAAAAATTTCATTTGGCTCTAACAATGGGATAAATAGGTTATCATAAGTTACCTTCTCAAAATCACCTAAGCTGTTACTAAAGCCACAAACTCAACAATTCACTTTTAGAAGAGTTTTATAATGTTAAATTACCTCCTGAGAAAACGTTATCTCAGAGGAACTACCTTACTAAGTTCTTCCATTAAAAAAATAAAATAAAATAATTTGTCCCATCATGTACAACCATTTGACCAAAGAACATGAATGGTTTGAGGATGGTGCTTCAATTCTAAGACCTAAATATGGTGCTACATGTAGCCAAGTAGTTGAATCATTTCCATCTCTCTTCAGTAATTGTAGAACTGGGCATGTTTTTCTGCTTAATGATATTGTGTCTATGTAAATTAAGTAAAATTATAATATGAAACATTAAATGAACTGTGTGTACAATAAGCACTTTAAATAGTCAACTGGATCTAATTGCTTGTTTACTACTAGTTGAAGTTTTGCAATGTGCAAAGGGATGAAAGGGGCCCTGAGTTTTTAAGTAATATGTCTTTAGAGTGAGTCTAAACAGGAAGATGTTTCTGAAATCTTAAAAGTACAAATAACATAAAAATAAAACATATTACCTTTTAAAACAACAGAAAACCAAGTTGTAGTTTAAAAGTTATTTGCTTTAAAATTCAGTCATAAACTGGACACTCTAATGATGTTATTTGTTTCTAAAGATTCCTCCTCTCTTACTCAGATTTTAAAATCTGGGTTTCAAAATAAGTTTAAAAAATGACTGTCACATGTTTAATAATAACACTACAAACATCAAGTAATAACAGAATTGGAATTTTTAAGATATGATAGATTTATTTTGGGCATAATTTTAATACACAGCATAAATTCTTCTGACATATTTACTTTCAAATGCATCAGCCATGAGATAAAATCCTAAATTTTACTTTATATTCACAAACACTCAACTTTAACCAGTCACTTAAGAATTAAATGAAAGCTGTTATGGTCTAGTCTATGTTGCAAAACAATGATAAGTATTTCAAAAGTGGTCTGCAAAAATGTTCATAGATAATACCTGATTATTGTAGGATTTGCTTTTGAAAGTTAATGTTGCACTTTGTGTTTAATATTTGATACAAATAAATATGTAAAACACATGTTTTATGTGGCTCAATCATAATGCTAAGCTTGCTGCAATATAGATGAAATGATATACAATTCTGTATGCATGGCTTTTTAGTTATAACTAATTAGAATATAAAATCTAAAACTCAACAATTTAACAGAAAATGTTAGATGATACAAAAATTAGGTGATTTGCTGACAATTTAATGGCTCCATTGTCAAATGGTAACATCCTAATTCTCAGTTCTATCTTATTGAACTATTAACCGGAGTAATAAATTTGAATATAACATAAACTATAATTTTAGTGTTCTTAAATATAAAATTATTAAAATAGGACTGAGGATAAAATGCTAAAGAAACTAAAACAATTTTGTCTGAAGAACTGAGACTGAAGGATTGAGAAGCCTGAAGCATATGGAAGAATAACAATGTTGAAGAGGATAGCCTATGGCTTTTTTTGTTTTTACTACTGGATAAGAGAAATGGGTATAAATGAAAACAGGAGAGAAGCAGAACAGATAGGAAAAAAAACTTTCCTGATACAGAAGATTGTGAGTCACATAACAAAGGGATAGAATAAATCAGACACAAACTAAGATGTGATTGAAGGAAAGTAATGTTTAGGTGCACTAGAGAACCATTTCTTCTATTGGTTTAATCTGGGAACCTGTGAAAAAGCCTTCTTTTGATAGTAACGTTTGTGTAACTAACTCAACTGTGATCTGCCAGATTTATTTAATCAGGGACTATATTTAGGAATGGTCATGCAAGGTAGTTTTGGCTAAAGTTTGCAAAGTTCAGAATCTAAAAGTTAAAATGCAATATCTACTGAAGAGCAAACTGACAGTAAAAGGTATGAATATTTAGGAATACCCTAGTCTGAAAAGACTTCTGGGGTATATGTGGGAATGTTATGCAATTTCTAGAGTTAACTGGTCTAGATAATCAACTAATGTTGATTGTAACTTTAAGGAGTAGCTTGGGAGAGAAAGTAATATATAAAGCAATCTGAATAATTAATGTAATTGCCTGTACTTCACTGGTAATAAGTTCAACATAAATATTTAAAAGTTGTATAGAAATATTAGGAATCTCAAATTTTAGGAACTACCTCCAATTAAATATTCATTTCTATAAATATGAAAAAAGAAACAAAAAGTTTATTAAAGTAAATTTCTATTTTAAATGACTTTGAAAAGAGAGGTTTACAGAGAATGGACAGTAAATAGCTTCAGCCTATCAGGTATCCCATGTAGCTTTAGAAGCTAAATTTGAAAATATTTTAAATAAAAACACTCATCAAATTTTGTGGTAATTACCATGGAAACACATATTTGAGTGTTCCTACCTTTCTTTGTTTTCACATTCAAAACCAATGTACATTTTCTGGAATATGCAGATACACGTAAGGAAACAATACAAATTGTTTTATTAGAAGGACATTATCCTTGTATCCTTCCTACATCCACCTCAATTTGTTTTCTGGACTAGTAAAATTTTCAAAAGTCACTAAAAGCAGAAATTTTCAAGATGGAGTCAAAGGACTGATGAAACTAAAAGTCCATGTTAAATTAATTCCTCCAAATCAAGTACGGAATCGATTTATGAAAAAGTCTCTGTTCCTATAAGCCACCTTCACTTTATCCTTAACATTTATTTTACCTTAGTTATTCAATATAAGAATGTTATGAGTGAAGAGAAGTGAAATGATTTTAAGATCATGATGGCAGATATGGGATTGAATTTTGTCTTAAATTAGTAATTATTTCTCAAGCAACAATCAGCATAGATAAATCTATACACCTTCTATGGCTGCCTAACTTTTAAAGTCATTAAGGTATCTGGACTTGCTTATATACAAGCCCCAACTGTATAATGACTGGAGTATAATGACTAGATTTCTTACAAAATGTCAGTACATTATACATCCTGTCATACAGTATGTAGGCTATATGGTATGGATGAGAGATGTGGAGAGAGGCAAACCTAGGTTAAAATCCATCTTTGTCTATTACCAGATGTTGACCTAGGGCAAACTGCTAAGTTTCTCCTCGCTTCAGTTTGCTCATCAGTAAACAGGACATATTAACTATAATCCTTCCATGGTTGCTATGAGAACTAAAAGATAGTGTTTGTATAGCCCAACATTCAGCATACAACAAATGGTCAATTAGGACATTTCACTCCTGCATCTTCCCAAAACTTTTTTATATTAGGGTTTCCCCCCCAATTATGCATTTAAAAATGGGAAACATTTTTATGAATAATTAAATCATTTTTGTCTAAACACAATTCAAATCAAGTTTTTTGAGTGGCTAAGTTGTGGTATACAATTACAATAGTTAAGGGAATATTAGACTTTGATTATCTATTATTATGCTTTGAAGGTTGTAATACTCTCTTACAAATTAATTTAATGTTTTTCATTAATAGCCTTTAATTCAAAAGGAATCAAATGTTTTTATACATGTAAAATATTGTGATAGCAGTTTTAAATCATTAGCTTTAAGAAACATTAAATGAATAAAATTGGCAAGTATTTTAAGTAATTTTACGTGTTTGTATATTATAAACAGATTCTAAAATTAAATCAGTCTGATGTACAATTTAATTTAAAATTTATTAAAATGATTTATACTTTACTACTTTTTTAAGAGTCTACTAAAAAACTGGGGAAGAAATTATTTATTTTAAACATGTTTGCATTAAATGTGATACTATACGGAGTTCTTTAAATTTGGTACATTAATTTTTAAAAGTATTTTATTACTAAACATCAAAAAATGTTGGAAAACTTACAATCAAGTAGCCCAAATACAAAGTATAGTAGAATGAAACATAACTCTTCCTCTGTGAGGAAAAAATCAGTTAGATCTCAAATGGTCACTTACCCTCAGTGCTTCTAATTGGAGGACTATCATTTATTTTTATTCAAAGATGTCCTATAAATGTTTGAAAATAATATCCTGAAATACACACTGAAAGTCAAGGAAACTAAGTGAAAATTTACTGGGGAAGATATGAATAATTTGTTATGTGATAAAATAGTTAACTAAATGGAGTTAACTAAATAACTAACTTTATGCCAGAAGATTGAACATATATTAAAGTTCTGAATCAAAATAAGGGCCAATGAAACATAAAAGGTGGAAATACTGGGCATTAATAAAAGAATCTTAGCTAAGAATTCAAAACTGTGTTCAGCAATCTAGCTGAATAAAAGCTAAGTGCTACAATATCTAACTCAAGATTCTAGTAGATGGCAAACAAAAGAAGGCTTATCTATAAGTCCTAAGGATTTTGGACAGCAAATTTGGAAATATAGGCTGTTTTTAACTAAATGATGACAGAGGAATACGAGTAAGAAAATATTTTTCAGGAGATTTTTGTTTTTCTCTTAGCTTTTTATCCCCCAGAGAAGTCCTAGAACTTAATTAGATAATGAGTACCAAGTACTCCAAGAATCTGTAAAAAATAAGTAAGATTATCACTGTTTGCAAATTGATAGAAAATAATTTGTGCTTATAAAAAAAGTCCCTTACTTGACATAAAGTGCTTTATTTAAAAAAAAACATGCAGAGGTTGTTGTTTTAGAGAAGATTATAAGTAATGAAGAAGCAAAAGAAGCTTTAAAAAAGTATGACTTGAAAGATACATAACATGTTATCACTAAAAGGTATATTCCAATATAATATAAATAATAAATGCTGCTCATATATCAAAAAATCATGTGAATATTGGCAAAAGGAGAAATTATGAAAATAGGAGTAGTAAAAAAACAGTTTTGAGAAGAGAGAGGTAAGTCTCCAGCTGCTCAAAGATGACAGGTTTGGCAGCAATCCTTCCTTTTGCAGGGATCTGGCACGCCAGTCGAATGATTTTTTCCACACAGCGTTTTAGGTCATGGGAAGAGGAGAGGAATCTTTTTCAGACAGTCACCAGGCTTTGCTTGGGAAGAGGATATAAAGATACTACAGGATCAAAACTATGGATTACTTCTGAAGTTATTTTGAACAGGAAATGTAATTTTATTTGAGTCAAAGATTGCTTACTCAGAGAATAAAGGATATAACACTATATTGCCTTAACCATCTACCTACTTAAAAATTCCATATAAGTATAGCTATATAAGTTTTCTGATAAAAATGTGCTTCTTAAATAAATGAAAATGAAATATTACATATAAAAATAAAATAAAAGAGAAAAGGTTAATATTTGACTTCTATTTTGTTCTATGCTCTCTTATAAACTTCCAAAACCAGAACCAAATATGTTTATTAAAATGCCTGGAAGGAAATGTTTAGGATTTGGAAGGTTAAAAGCATTTCAGATTAGGTTTGGTAGTTCCATCTTTACAGCCCTTTGAGACAATGTTTCTGCATTTTTCATAAAGAGAGAGAAAGCAAAAAATCTGGTTTCTCTTCTGCAAAATTCACGGTCTATAGAGCAGACCTGACAGAAGTATGGGGGAGAAAAATGTTCATATTTTGGAAGAATGTGTGCTCTATTAGGAAGAGAGCTTACAAGAAAGCTTATTTGTGGCCTACAGACTATTGCACATTCAAACAAAACACAAGGGAAAAGAATGTTCAACAGATAATATGTTAGGAACATAACAACATATAAAATAAACTAGCTTGTGCCCAGAAATAAAATATGGATACCAGACACCACTGAAGTCAAACCTGTCTTAATCTGCTTCTGTTTTAATGACCTTTAGAAACTGTTTCAAACTGATTATCAGTAATACATTGTTTTTGCTTTTTTTCTTAAAAAAATATTTTGAGACCACTTTTGATACACACTCATATAATTCTGTGGTCATAACAGACAAATATAACTTTAGCAAGACTAAACAAAAGTGCAAAACTTAAAAAAACAAAATTAAAAAATATGGAAGCATAAGCTAAATTTTCTGCATAGCTGAAATCTATTTAAAGCAAGTCCTTATTGTAGGGGTGGGAGGGGTACTGACAGGAAGATAAAGCAGTTTTTAAAAAAAAAGTCTTCTGCGTGTTAAATGATGCAAAAAATAATTTCACTCCATAGGCCTGAAAACATTTCACAGACAGTTCATTCCTATATCTTTAGACACCATGGTTGTAGCAGTGCCTCCTTCTGCAAGGTAAACAGCGGTGCTAGATTTGGAATGAACTGCTCTGTCACTGCCATTGTTGTTGACCTCACAGTCCAGTTGTTCAGTGGAGATAACCCAGGTGGAAGGGCGCCACCGCTTTAGAGAATAAGGAGTTTTCACACGTTTCTTGATCTTTTCACCAGATCCTGTTTTGCCATCTTGTGTTGACTCACCTACTAAAAAAAAAAAAAGTATAGAAGAATGAACTATTATGTAAAAAAACTATTAAAAAGTAAAAAGTTAGGATTACAACTCAAGAACAGGTCAAACTAATGTCTGTAGGTGGTGCTAATGAACATTTCTTGAAATTGATGATGCCAGACAATATTTTCCTAGGCAAAAATTAAATAACTTATTTTTGAGACTCTTGAAGCCCAATGTTTTTATAAGCAGTTAAATTATTCTATAGGGCAAAGAAGAAAATATCTAAAAACCACAAAAAGCAAAAACAGAGGAGAAAATTCAAAGTTCTCAGCTGTACCCTCTAATCTTTTGGTTACTAGTAGCAATCCTAACTTGGCAAAATGCATTTAATCATTCAACTTAATGCTCAAAGTGAATGAAATTATAAAGGCACTTGGCATATGATATTTTACAGAAGAATTACCTGAATTCTAGAATACAAATTTTCTAGTAATTCCCTCTTCCCATCTGACAAGACATTTTACTGATCTGGAGCCCTGCCATAGGTGAAGCAGTCTATAATACAAACCACTCAAGCAAGAGGCTAGATTCTACTGATCAGTTTTTGAGAGCTGAATAATCCCTTTCAGCCCATTTTGTAGTCTTTGACAACAACCATAAAACATGGCTTTGTTTTTCCCTGTAAGTACTGTCTGTCTAAAAGAGAAATTATTTTGTGTAATGATCACTGTTACAGATTCTGTTGAGCTCTCCAAGTATCCCTTTAGGGCCAGAAACCAAGTATCAAGTTATTTGTTTAAGTTGTTAGGGGGCCCATAACACAATGCTATAGTCACATGAGAAACTCAACATATAATTCTTGGGAAAAAACAATAATAAAAAAACCAACAGCAATTTTATAGTAACTTCTCTGAATTTTCTCTGGACTTGAAAGATTTATTAAGTCTGATAAAATCTAAATGTGTATTTAATAGATATTAATATGCTCAACAAACTTTCAAAACTTATACTGACATCATTTTACTTGGAGGTTATAATTGTTGAGTATTTATTTATCTTAACCATTCATAGCAAATATGAGTTGCATTGCAAATCAGCAGCTACATAAAGTACATATTACATTGGTATTTATTCTATTGTGATACTGACTTTTTAATTATCAACAACAAAAGAATTACTTTTTTCTTTATAATAGTTTAATTACTTTTGAGGCCCAGCCAAATGGCTTATTTCTAAAAGTGGTAAAAATAAAAAATTGCTAGTTGCAACACAATCTGATTCTATCTAAGTAGTTACTTAAATGGTCCCAACAGACAAGCAGGAGAAATTACATGACCCTGTCCACTTACATTGCAAACCACTGTCATCAAGAACATTTGTGGCTGAAAGATCCAAAGAATTAGGCCTCTGTGCTCTTCTGGGTTTTGATGGTCCAGGATCTGCTACTGTGCTTGGAACACCCTGTGCAAGAACAACTTGCTCTAAACATGGATTACTGTTGTTGTTATTAGAATTAGTTCGGCCACCTTCCAGTGGACGTTCCCTCCTGTCCACAAGACGATCCAGAACACCTTCATCATGGCCAGCCTGTTGCTCTCGCCTCAATAAAGGTTCATGTTCATCAGGGCTGGAGTTAATATTCAGCCTGGTATCCTCACCAATGAATTGATTCTGCAGCATTTCTTGGGCCCTAAGTGCCACTGTGTTGGCAGTCTGGCCAGATGGTACTGCCCCATTGGCATATTGAGCAGCAGCAGCATGGGAGTTAACACTGTGGTTTCTACCTGCCACACCATTCATGGTGACTGTAACCACATGAGGTTCTACAGCATTAATTGTATTCATCTTGGCAACTCCAGTTTCTACTTGTTTCAAATTGGATTTGTGCTTGCTGCCAAATTTCAGACGGGGCTCCTTTGTTGAATTTTTGGTGTTTAAAGGCAAACTAGTAGGTCTCTTAGGAAGGTTCTGTTGCTTGGGGAGAGGATAGAGCTGAGCAGGTGGGACATCAGGAATTAAACATGCTTGGCCATTGGCAGCCTGTGTGAAGTCCTGCTGTCCAGTCACTTCTACTGCAAGCTTTATTAGTGGGTAAAGCAAGCTAGAACTGGTACTGCTCAGTGGGTCTGGCCCACTGAACTGTTTAAGAGAATGCTCCATGAGATTCTCGTCAGAACTTTCCTTGAGGTTCTTATCAACTTCTTTTGGGTCTAGCTTGTTGGTCTCCAAGTCTTCTTCTGTCAGCTGTAAGCAGACAGGGGTTGGCCCAATTGGCTGTGAAATATTTGTGGCATGAAGATTTGTTTCATCTGAGTATGGCATCTCAGATATAGTGGTCATGCCAGTGCTTGGAGTGAGGCCAGTGGTGTTTGTGGTGGTTGTGTTGGTGGACAGGCTGGTGACACTTGTTTCAGGGCTGGGGATTCGAGCTTGTGCTTGCTGTCGTTCATAGTTAATTGAGTTTCTGTTCTTTTCCCCTGTAGTCAAAGGTGTGCTAGACATTGAATGCTCAGAGGAAATATTCTTCACAATGCTGTCAGTATGATGGATGGAGTCTTCAATGTATGAGGAAGAAGAATAATCTGGATAAGGGCCAATCTTTGGCACACGCCTATTGTGTGAAAGGTTGCTTAAAGAAAGAAAAAAATGACATATTGACAATGCACATTTATGACAAACTGATTCCAAGTTTAACATCTCTGATTTTAAAGGAAAGGGCTTTTTATTTTATTCCTAGTCCACATCATTCTAGAGGTTACTAAAAATTCTAATCAAATAATCAAGTGTCAACTTACTAAATGCTAATTTTATGATTTAAGCCTACTGAAAAATATGTGCAGATCTAGGTGTGATTTTTATAGTTATTCATTATTTTGGTTTATAGAAGTTACTTAAAAATCTCTCCTATAGTTTTACAACATTACCAAATATATTTTTATGAATTGTATACTTGTACAACCAGATATAAGGTTTCATGAGAGGAAGAACCATGGCATATATTTCTTTTGTATGCTCATAATTCTAGATACATAGTGCTACTGAACAAATGTTACCAAATAAGTTCCAGTGGCCAAATGGTAACAACTAATAGGTAGTTTCAAAGTGCTTCCATGAAGAGGCACAGTCTATCAATGGAATGTATCTTCCTGGGTAGACTGAGCCACATCAATGAAAGTCCTAGAGCCTAGAGTATAATGCAGAATGTGACACTCAGATAAAGGATCAAAGATTCAGAAATGTTCTCCGGTTATCAAGGGCTCTTCACAGTCATTGGCATAATTGGCACAACTTGAGAGTGATGGTTTTTGAGCATCACACTGTATGTAATATATTTGTTATTTAAAATAAAGATCAGGGTTAGCTTTAACAATCAAAGTATAAACACTGGGAATATTAATAGATGCAAGTGTTATAGGAGAAAAGCAGCAGCTAAAGGAGAGGAAGTACTGATGAAGAAAGATTGAAAAGAAAAGAAAGATTGATGAAATTATAAGGGGAATGAAAAGAAGGGGTAGGAAGAAGTAAAAAGCTGATGCACTGCATAAGAAAAGGAAGTTCAGGAGGTATGGAGGGTAACAGTCAATACAATGAAACCTAGAGTGGAATGACAAGTATGAACTATGATTAAGCCACCTCAAATAGCATACTAGAGAGTCAGTACAAATAGCATACTAGAACACACAGATAATACAAAGATAAGGTGCGAAGAAAGCAGAAAGCTGAGACTATCCTTAGGTATGTGTAAAGTGAGAAAATTTATGTTTAGAATTGCTACTTTCTACCTTCCTTGGTTTGCTGATAAAGAAAGCATAAAAGTTTATATACTGAGGGTAATTTAACCTAAACATAACTAGTGTAAACCCAATTTTGGACTTATAGTTCATAATACAAATTATTCTTAGAAATTAGAACAATCGCCCTGGCTGGCGTAGCTCAGTGGATTGAGCGCGGGCTGTGAACCAAAGTGTCGCAGGTTCAATTCCCAGTCAGGGTACATGCCTGGGTTGCAGGCCATGACCCCCAGCAACCACACACTGATATTTCTCTCTCTCTTTCTCCCTCCCTTCCCTCTCTAAAAATAAATAAATAAAATCTTAAAAAAAAGAAATTAGAACAATAGAAATAGCATGGAAAATGATTCAAGGGTCAAGTGTATTTTTATCTCATTTTTTTCTGATAATTTTCTCCTTGATGCATTTCTGAAAATTTTTACCTTGTATTAGATAAAATGACAAATTTGCGGGAACACTTTTTCTCCAATCATGAAAAAAAGAAACACAAACACCACCAGTCTGAAAGTTCCAAGTTTTAGGAATTTTTTTTTAAAAGTCCTTTTAACCCTGACTGGTGTGGCTCAGTTGGCTGGGCATGTTCCTGCTAAGCAAAAGGTCACTGGTTTGATTCCCAGTCAGGGCATGTGCCTGGGTTACAGGTTTGGTCCCTCCCCATCTCTCTAAAAATAAATATTAAAAAAATAGAAAGTCCTTTTATTTAGAACCAAAATTCATAGTTGTAGCAAAAAAAAAGTCTCATAAAATAATGCTCATGATGGGATGGAAAGATCTTATGCACTGCTCTCATGTGAAAGTAGTAGTAGTATATTCTCTAAGAAAGAGCATTGGATAAGAAGCCTAGAAACAACAGTCTCCATTGAAACAGGTTAGATACATAGGCAAGGTAATAGGTTCCATTTCCTTTAAACAAACAAACAAAACAGCAGAGGAAGGAGGAATAATAACAACAAAGGATAAATATGACAATATATATACAAGTTCTTACATACTTTTGTAACTATGAAAATATTTTACCTTTGTTATTGTAGGGAAGTTGGAGCATTAAAAGAAAAAAACTAACCTCTTTTTCTATATCTTTAGATATTAAAACTCCACAGATTTCGTCTTGCATTTATATCAAACAAAATCTTCAGTAACAGAACAGGAATATTGAAAGAAAAAGTACAACTTTAGATTGGATGAGTTAATCACTGTACTACTGGACTGGTTTAAGAGAATTTATTTCCTGTTCTCTATTTCATCTCAGTTTCTCAATACTGACTGATGGATGCCAGACCCCCTTGGTTCTTACCGCTCATTCTGCATAGCAGTAGACATTGGATTGACTGTTGGGCTCACGGATTTGTTTCTTTCCCATATCATCATAAGTTCAGCCATCCTCTCCTCAGCACACTGTGCAGTAAGCCGAGCCTCTGCATCCTGGTCCCAACAGTCTTCTATTGTCTCCTTGAGTGATCTCACTGCCTGTAATAAAGCACATGTCAAATGCTGTATCTTAAAAGAAAAAGTATTGAGTTTCTTAGTGACATGAGGTAGAAGAAATATCAATTTTCTTTAACAAATATTTTACATAGCTCCAATAAAGTCTTTTAGACTTCAGAGATTTGTAAAGTGTCACATTTCTCAAACAATAAGTAGCAAGGAAGGAAGGAAGCTTTAACCTAACTCTTTACCTGAGAACATGTTTCCACTGATTTTTACAGAGGGAGGGAGGAAGGGAGGGAAACAGAGAGAGAGACATATATATGTGGTTTGAACACACCCCAGTTGGGGATCAAACTGCAACCAGGAATTGAATGGGCAACCTGGCTGTTAAAAATTTTGAGGAGAGCAAATATGAATAAAGAAAATATTGAGGCAAAATCAGGTAAGTACTTTGCCAGGGAACTCTATATTAGAAATATATAAATAATGATATCTAACATTTGGGTAAACGAGATAAAGGGGGTATCATTATTAACATTGATGAAGAAAGGCAAACAAGAAAGAAAGAAAAGAAAAACAAAAAAACTTTAAAAACCTTTTCTACTTAATGACAGGAAAATGCAAGTTGGGGTTCATAGGTGGGTCATAAAATCAGATTACTGGGTTGGGACCAGATTTAAAATAAATGACTACCAAATCCCCAAACTAAAACACTCTAGACTAGAAAATACAAAATACCCAGATGTAGAGTAGATAGTAAGATTAAGCCTCTTACAATATCATGTCATGATGTAAACATGTATATTTCTTTTTTTTAATTGGGTCTTTTTTTATTTTTTAAATTTTATTTATTTATTTTTAGAGAGGGAAGGGAGGGAGAAAGAGAGAGAGAGAGAAACATCAATGTGCGGTTGCTGGGGGCCATGGCCTATAACCCAGGCATGTGCCCTGACTGGGAATCAAACCTGCGATACTTTGGTTCACAGCCTGTGCTCAATCCACTGAGCTACGCCAGCCAGGGCAACATGTATATTTCTTAATGTGTGAGAAAAAAATTCTGAATTCTAGATCACATAAAAAATTTGCAGATTTTGTAAAGAGAGAAAATGGAAAAACTGAAATAAATATGAAAGAAGAACTGGTAGATTCTGGAATATACAACATATTTTAGAAGACTGGATTTAATGGGTAGAGAAAGAAAAAGACTAGAGGAAAAATCCAACTGTGGAAGAGTTCCCAACTTTTATGCAACAATACATTAAAACCATTGCACAAAAGATGTTATGCAGAACTAAGATTAAGGGATAAAGAGAAACTGGACAAGTGATTTTAAGAAAGGAAAGAGAGCAAGCCAGTATTCAAGACAGATTAAGAGAGGATAAGAATTTGGAAAAAAGATGAAAAATATGAAGAATGGTGATGTGGTTGAAGAAACTACACCTGAATGTTTTACATATGAGAAAAAGGCTACTAAAAAAAAAAACAACAACTAGGGCCTATAATTTTGTTTTTCTAATTTAAAATATTTTAATATTAAAAAAACCTTAAACTTTATGTGTGATTGTTACAACAGTACACTTTTACTATAAATTCTAAAAGTATAGAAAAGGTTACTCATAAACTCAATATTCAGAGGTAACTATGGTTAACATTTTCATATAGTTTCCTCAGAAAGTATTTTCTATACTTTCATTTTCATCAGGAAACTATTCTTTCCCCATTTACTGACTGATCTATGCTTTTAAACTAGTTTTTTTACACTCAATAATATTTGGAAGATTCTCAGTTTTGTTACTATAAATATATTTCTTTTTATTTCAATGCGACTATATAGCAAAAGTGTCTTTGGCATAGGGGAATTTCTCTCTTTTTATAAACTATGAACTTGCCATCTAACTCTAGTATTGGATTGTCACTACAGACAAGCTGTAGTATGGACTGCAGCACATTAAAGCTAAATGGATTCGTTGGAAGTGAACCAAGCATTATTTTATCCCTTACTTAGCAACCTAGTTTAAATCTGGAGTAAATAGTTTTCAAGTAAATATGCATACGAGGCATATCCCACAATGGTAAGGTTGACGAGAGAGACTTCAAAATGATGAGTTCAACATCTCTGGTAAAATAAACAATTTAAGGAAGATGAGTTGTATTTTACTAGATAAAATTTCAAAAGGAGATTTTTTTTTTCCTTTGAGGGATGCTGCACTATAAGCCTGGCACGTCTAATGAATCCTTATAAAGGATTCAGCCTCTCACCTGCTGCCAGGGACCTCTTAAAGATCTATCCTACTTTCCATAGCAGGGACTGCAGTTTGGAGGCAATCTTGGGAATATGTGCTTGGCAGTAGGTCTTCAACTGCTTCAAACTTGAAGCAGATTTTAATTTCATTTGAAGCAGAAGCCTTCCTTGAAGGTAAGATACTGACAGGGATGACCAGTGGAGAAAATATTCAATCTAAATACATCTGTATGGAAATATAGAACATCTCTCTAACCTCTCTCTGACATGCCACCACCCCACGTAAGTCATGATACAGAATGAAAATATTCTAATCCTACCAAGAAAGCCTAAAATTAAAATGTGAAAATCTATAGTAAAAAGATTTAAGTTGCTTAATGAAATTTTCTTCATTCTTGTTCTTTAACTATAAATCAAGAAAATTGTACAAAGTATCAAAAATTCAACTTTATACCCTCAGAGATAATCAGATTCCTATTACAGTCTTAAAACAAGAACTTACTGCTCTGGGAGGGTAGAGGGATGGAATGAAAAAGACAAAGAACTCATGGATACAGATGGCAACGTGGTGACTGGGGAGGGAAGTGGACAGAGATGGAAGAGGGTATGGGGGGATAAATAGCAATGGAAAAAATATAATGAAAAATAAACAAAAAAGTAAAAATAAAAATCTAAATAAAAAAGAAAAGATTGCTCTGGAAAAAGCAAACAATAAAAATTTCTAGAAATTATAAGTATGACTATGGAAAGCAAAATTTTAATGAACAGATAACAAATAGAATGATAAAGGTGAAAATAAATGAGTAATTTGAAAGGTAAAGCTAAGTAAATCTTAAACAATGTACAACAAAATACTGGAAAATACAAGGGAAAAAACCTAGACCTGAAATGTCAGGTGGTCCAATATTTGTCTAATGGAAATTTGAGAAGAAAGAAATACAAGAGAGGAAATAACTTTTAAAATAAAACATAATAGAACAACTATAAAGGACACATGGACAATAACAAGGTGGGTAGAAATGGGCAGAAGGTGGGGAAGGCTGGGGTGGTGGGAAGGCATGAGAGGAAAACCCAGAAAACTGTACTTGAACAACAATAAAAATCAAAAGTATTCAAAATAAAATATAATACAATACAATACAATGATATAAGAAAATTCCTCTGAAATGAAGAAAATTCTGAGTTTTCAAGCTGAAAACCTGTCCAGTAGAAAGCAAAAGGTATGAAAAGATCCATGCCTACATACATTCAGGTGGAATTTCACAATTCCAATAATACAGTAAAATGCTTAAAAGCTTACAGAGAAAACAAAACAAGATAATAAAACAAAAAGCAATAGAATGAAACTGGTTGGGCCTGGAATTCTCAAAAACACATTGGAATACTAGAGCACAATTGAGTAGTGGCTGCAAAGTTGTGAGGAAAATTATTTTGATCTTGAAAAGATTACCTAGCCAAATTATTACTTAAGTGTGAGAGCAAGATAGAAACATTTTTGAATGTGCAAGAACTCGTAATATTTACTACCCATGCACATATCTAACACACATTACTTAAAGAGGAACTTCCTCAAAGAAAAAGTGATTTACAAGAGAGGGAATGACATGAAATTTTCAAAAATGTTGCTTCTTAGTAGAACCTCTAAAGAAAAATAAAAAAAAAAAAGATGACAAAGAAAAATCAAAGAGAATCCAATGGATGGTGACTTTTGAAATACTCTTCCTTAAGAAGCAGGGTTTTACACGAACTAACATAGTATTTCTATTTCCTTTTCTATGAGTCTAAGCACAATACTATGTTGTGCAGTGCATGTTTACATAATCGTAATTCTGCAAAATTCTAATGTTTTTATTTCATTTAAATATTTAAATCTGTAGACAAAACAAAAATTTATTTAATAAACAGATACAACATTACAAAATTAGGAAGGAGTAAATGAAAGATAACAAGAAGTAAGAATAGATATAGCACTTTAAGTTATAATGGTAATTCTAGGAGAAAATTAAATATAAAACAAAAACTGCAGAACAATGTTAACAGGAGTTATTGCTAAAGAGTGGTGGTAGGGGCAGGTAGTCTTTTCCACTTCCTTTTTTATGATCTTCTATTTAGTTGGGTTTTATTTGCAATACATGGATATAACTTTAATTCTTAAAAATAAAACTGTTTAAAGTATGAAATACAGGGTACTCTCATCAACAAGGGGTAATAATACAATGGAATACTGACTAAATGGAGAGAAAGAGAAACATTTATATGTATGGACATGAAAAATTGTCCATAATAAAAAAATAAAGCTTCACAAATGACAGTAGATAATGAGATAATCCTACTTTTGTTTAAAAAATATATATATCAGATATACTGTCCTGGCTGGGTAGCTCGGTTGGTTAGGGCATCATCTTGATATGCCAAGATTGCAGGTTCCATCCCTGGTTAGGGCACATACAAGAATCAACCAATGAATGCACAGAAAAATGGAACAACAAATCAATATCTAACTGTTTGTCTCTCTCTCTCTCTCTCCCTTTCTCTCTAAAATCAACCAACAAAAAAAAATTATATGAGAGCGTAGGTACATGTGTGCATGTAAATATTTATAAGATATTTTTAGTGTTGTAGCAACAATTTACTGAAATGATGGGTGCCTTTGAAGATATTGTTGTGAATTGCATTTTTAACATACAGAATTTTTAGGTTGTACCTTGTTTTCTTTTTGGTGTAGCTTAAATTTCTATGAGACACTGAATATGTAAGTCTTCACAAATTAAAATTTTTGGTACCACACTCAAGAGAGTATGATGGAATTTCAATAACCTTTAAAATGTTAACTTGTTAATCATTCCACTTTTTACCCAATCTGTCAAACTTCACACACAATAATTATTTCACACAATTTTATACTTGGAAAAACCTGAAATTCAAGAGGGGGACTTTTCAGGAAAAACCTGAAATTGGAAAGGGAGGTTTTTCAGCTGAAAATCTTAAAAGGGGGAACTTTTTTAGATTGAAAAACTAAAGATTTTTTAGGTTTTTTAGATTTTAAAACTAAAATCAAGTAAGATGAATTTATGCATTAGACAACTCTAAAAACTATTAACATTATTAATAGTATTTTTGCTTCAAATAACATTAAAACACACTCAATCATAAGTTGTCTTTTTAATAATTTAGTTTCTTCTTACCAGGCTGTTTTCTTTCCAAGCTTCTGGGAATTTGGGTCTCTGTTTTTCCCTAGACACCAGAACCTGCATATCTTCAAATGTGGGATGGTTTCCAACTTCTGTCTGAAAAGCCATTTGGTATTCTGGTACAGATTCACCTGTAAATTTTTTTAAAGGATGGAGTAAAATTTCCAATTATCATAGAATGATAGAATAATGGGAGTATTTCTAATACTACTCGAGCAAAGAAATTGTGTCACAATCTTTTTTTTGTTCACCCTTTCAGGCATATTTAGAAATCCTACAGAGACCCTTTTGTGGGTATAATGCATTAATAATAAATGTTTTACTTAGAATAGTCTTTGTTTGATAAATTATTTTTTGGTAAGTTAAACAATAGTTTCAATGATGAAAAGCTATTTTTATGTGGTTTCTAGCACTACTAAATTTGGAGGAAAAGATTTTGTACATAGAGTTTGTCCAGAAAAATTACATTCATTGTTTTTTTAAATTTAAGTATATTTTATTGATTATGCTGTTAAAGTTGCCCCAATTTTTTTCCCTTCCCCCCCCCTCCACCCAGTACCCACCTTCCCTCTAGCAATGCCCTACCGTTAGTTCATGCCCATTCGTCATGCATGTTAAATTCTTTGGCTTCTCCCTTTCTTATACTATTCCCAACACCCCCCTGTCTATTTTGTTCCTACCAATTATGCTTCTTGCACCACTGCTCCCTTTCTCCCCCTTCCCCCTCCCAGCTGACAACCCTCTAAATTGTCCCCATACCTATGATTCTATTCCTGATCTGGTTGTTTACATAGTCTGCTTTTGCTTTTGTTTTTACCTTTCCAATTCAGTTGTTGATAGCTGTGAGTTTGTTGTCCTTTTTATTTATTTATTTATTTAGCAGCAAGATTTTATGGTTAGGCAAAATAACAAAGGTTACGGTGAGCTCCAAGTTATACACTTAGCTTCTAACTTTTGTTGAGACACGTGGACCTGTTCATGGCATCAGAAGATTCAAAGGGATGTCTGCTGACATCAAAGGTGACTCCTGAGAGTGACTGCAGTTTGCTCCCAAATGAATACCTTGTTTCGCAGGCCGGCAGTCAATCCACTGAACCACACTAGCCAGGGCTAGAATTTCTTTTTATCACACTGCAGTTGTCCTTCAAGATTTGTGTTTGGTTGGTTGGTTTTATTGTCAAGCATCAATACTGCATTACCTGTCACTTTCCAGTCTTCATTGGGCTGCCATGAGACCACTGGAAAGTACAGCATTATCCACACAGGGCTGGAACTGCTCCTTCACCACAGGGTAGATGTACGGGTGCTCCATGGCCTCTTTGGCAGTCAGTATCTGTCAGTGGTTGTATTGCAGAAGTTTGTCCAGAAGATCTAGGGCCTCCGGGCTGACGAGGTGTCTGTTCTCACTATAGATAAAATTCTCCCAGCATTTCTGTGAATTGTTGTCCCAGGATATTCGTTGGAAGTGCAGATCTAGGTCTAGGTGATACTTCTTCAAATACCCATGCAGCTCATCTGTACCTGGAACCTTGGCAATGTGAACAAGCTGGCTGTAGTTGTCCTGTCTGTGAAAGGAGGATTCCTTTTGAAAGATCGTGCTCGCTAACATACTGCCCAAACTCCACATGTCCAAGCTATAATCATACATCTGGTAGCTACAAGGAGCTTGGTCCCTTGAAGTACCTGGAAGCCACGAGAACACTGTACTCCTGAGCAGGATGGGTGAACTCTGCAAGACCCCAGTCGCAGCTTTTTCTGTTGGTGACCTATCATGACATTCCGAGGTTTCACATCCCTGTGCATGATTCCCTTGCTGTGGCAGTAATCCAGAGCTTTAAGTAATCCATACATACAAAACTGATATCAAAGTCTGTCAGGATCTGATAAAGTTGCTCAAAATCTGAATTATTGATATATTAAAATACCAAAGCTGGTGTCTTTGACACAGTGTCCTTCACAGTGTCAATCAGTTTAATGATATTTGTTCTCCATGAAGGTTCTCCAGAATCTTAGCCTCTCGTTTTATTTTCTTTTTCTTGACTGGCTTGAGAATTTTTACAATCACTCTCTCATTGTTGGTGATGTTAATGGCTTCAATACTTTGCTATACTTTCCCCAACCAAGCTTTTGAACCAGTTGGTAATCATTTTGATTACCTCAGCTTGGGACATGAGCCACATAGTCCCAGTACTCTCCGCTCCTCAGCTGTTCTCCTCGGTGTAGACCCGGGCCCTGCTATCTGCAGCTAGGCCAGGCAAGGCAGGTGAAACCAAGGGCACTGCTGGGAGCCAGAGGAGGAGGAGGAGTCAGGCAGTGGTGGCAGCTGAGGCTGCTGGCTGGGCTGTTGTCATAAATGTCCATAGTTTTGATCCACTTCTTTTTCTTAAATAAGGCCCTTTAACATTTCATGTAATAATGGCTTGCTGATGATTAATTCCTTTCGCTTTAACTTGTCTAGGAAACACTTTATCTGCCCTTCCATTCTAATTTTTTTTAAGATTTTATTTACTTACTTTTAGAGAAAGGTAGAGAGGGAGAGAAACAGCAATGTGTAAGAGATACATGGTTGCCTCTCACATGCCCCCAACTGGGCACCTGATCCCACAACCCAGGCATGTGCCCTGACCAGGAATCCAACCAGCGAACTTTCAGTTCACAGGCCGGGACTCAATCCACTGAGCCACACCAGCCAGGGCTGCCCTTCTATTCTAAATGACAGCTTTGCTTGGATAGAGTAGTCTTGGATGTAGGTCCTTGCCTTTCACGACTCTGAATACTTCTTTCCAGCCCCTTCTTGCCTGCAAAGTTTCTTTTGAGAAATCAACTGATAGTCTTATGGCCACTCCTTTGTAGGTAAATTTCTGCTTTTCTCTCATTTCTTGTAAGATTCTTTATCTTTAACCCTTGGCATTTTAATTATGATGTGTCTTGGAGTGGGCCTCTTTGGGTCCAACTTGATTGGGACTCTATGCTTCCTGGACTTGCATGTATATTTCCTTCACCAAATTAGGAAAGTTTTCTTTCATTATTTTTTCAAACATATTTCCAATTTCTTGCTCTTTCTCTTCTGGCAATGATGAAAATGTTGGACCTCTCGAAGTTGTCCCAGAGGCTGCTTATACAACCTTCATTTTTTTGGATTCTTTTTTCTTCTTGTTGTTCTCCTTATGTTCCATATCATTGATTTGATTTGTGGCTTCATCCATTCTACTGTTGTTTCCCTGTAAATTGTTTATTTCAATTAATGAATCCTTTGTTTCTGACTGGATCTTTTTTATGCTGTTGAAATCCTTACTAAGTTCCTTGAGCATCCTTATAACCAGTGTTTTGAACTCTGTATGTGATAGATTGCTTATTTCCATTTTGTTTGGCTCTTTTTTTCTGGCGTTTTGAACTTCTCTTTCGTTTGGACCATGTTTCTTTGTCTCCTTGTTTTGGCAGCCTCCCTGTGTTTGTTTCTATGTATTAGGTAGAGCTGCTTTGACTCCGTGTCTTGTAGTAGGTGGTCTAGAGTGTCTCGAGTGTCTAGAGTAGGTGGTCTGTAGTACAGTGGTCTAATGTAGTAGGTGTCCTGTAGGGTCCCGTGGCACAGCCTCCCCTATCACTCAAGCTGGGTATTCAAGGTACACTCTTTGTGTGGGCTGAGTCCACCCTCCTCTTGTAGCTGAACCTTGGTTTCTGTTGGCAGGTCAGTGGGAAGGATTTACCCAAGCCAGTCTGTTGCAAGGACTGGCTACTGACCACCAATCTGTCCTCTGTGGAGGATCAGCTGTGCAAGGACAGGATGGTGGTTTTCTGATGTAGTCTGTAGCTGTCTATGGGTGTGCAAGCTCTGGAGTTTCCGGAGTAGTGCAGGCCAAAGTCAGCCCCCACCTGTGTTTTGCCCAGGACCACCCTTCCTGAGCTCTAAAGCAATCTGAGAAGGTTGCTACTCATGCTGGGCTTGGAGTTTCCCAGGCAAAACCAAGCTGTGAAACTAATCTGGCTGCTGCTAGTGCCCGGCCTAGAGCTCACTAAGGACAACTGTGGCTTGTTTGATAGGATTTAGGAAGTTGTGAAGCAGAAGCCAAGATTATTTATTCATATGGAAAAGCAGCTTGGGTGGGTCCACAAGTTGGGTGGGGTGGAGTCTCTGGGGATCTCCAAGGCAGGTCAAACAATGTTAGCCAGGTTGATGGAGTGTCAGATATGGCACCAGCCTGCTGGCTTTGTGGCTCTGCAGGGGGCACCGGGGCTCAGAAAAGGGACAATGTCCTCTTGTCACCTTGATGCCAAACATTTCAGCCTTTCCCAGTATGCCACTAGTGCCCTTCTAGCTGTCACCCTGGCGCTAGAGGTCAGAGGGAGCAAGTCTGAGTAGGTGAGTCTCTGTGTGGATTCTTTAAGAGGAACTGCTTGGGGCTCAAGAAGTTTCTTCCACTGACTCAATCCTCACTGGTTTTTGAAGCCAGAAGTTGTGGGGACTTATCTTTCTGGCACTGGAAGCCTGATGTGGGTTGGGACTCCTTGCCCATAAGATCCCTCCTGAATTTTTAACCACCACACATGGATAAGAGACCAGCCTGTTCCATGACTGCGCCCCTCCTACCAATCTCAATGGATATAGTTTCTTCAATTCCATAGTTGTCAGACTTCCATTCACCTCAATTTCTGACGGTTATAAGTGATGGTTATTCTACATTTTAGCTGTAATCTTGATGTAGTTGTGCAAAGAAGCGAGCCATGTCTACCTATGCCACTATCTTGACTGGAAGCCCAGTCATTGTTAATATAATGAAAATGGTTTGTGAGACATCGATGTCAACTGGCAGCCAAGGAGAGTGCACTGGAATGCACATTCATTAACAATGACGACTTCACTATACTAGTCAGTGGAGGCAGTAGACGCTGTTGAGTGAACATGCGTACTGTGTGGTCATCACATTCAAAATGACTAAGCAAGTAGAGCAACGAATCTGCATCATATTTTGTGTTAAGCTTGAACATTCCTCTGAGAAAACTATTCAGATGATTGAGAAGGCCACAGCTATGGGCAATTGGTGATTGGAAGCTTCATTACAACAACGTGCCTGCTCATGCATCATGTCTCATGCAGAGTTTTTTGGTAAAACATCAAATCACCCAGGTGACTCATTTGCCCTCAAGTAGAGATTTGGCTCTCTGTGACTTCTGGCTTTTCCCAAAACTAAAATCACCTTTGAAAGGGAAGAGATACCAGACCATCAATGAGGAAAATCCCAAAGACAGGGCAGCCAATGGTGAATGGGAGAACTTTGTGAGGTCCCAGGTACCTACTTTGAAGGGATCTAAGGTGCCATTGTCCTATGTACAGTGTTTCTGGTATCTTGTATCTTCTTTAATAAATGTCTCTATTTTCCATATTACATAGCTGGATACCCTCTGGATAGACCTTGTACACTTAATATTTAAAAATATGCTTGATCTCTTATCCCACACAGGGATCAAGAACAATGAACATGAGATGTCCAGATCTAGTGCAACAAACATGTCTGTAGAACCAAACATAATGTGGAGGGTTTTATGGTCATCACATCTAATCACGTCATTTTTGTTATTATAATACTGCCAGATTGTATCAAATGTCACAAAAATTTTAATAATAATGGCCATTTGACAGAGAAGTCAATATACTGATTTTTAAAAAAATTTCCTCTTAGCAAGCAGTATCTATATCAAGGATTTTTAAGTGTTATTAATTATTCCACCCTATTCATCACCAACAAGCACAATCAGGGGCTTATAATGAAAGGCCTATCATTTTTTTAAAATGTGATCAAATTAAACTTAATAAACATATTGAGCCACACAGAAGACCTTTGGGACCAACACTTAGAAAACCAATGGCCTAGTAAATATTTTGGTGAAAAACTCAGGAAAAATAGAGATCTTTCTTTTCCTTACCCCCTTCCACCAATTTATTAAAATGACAGGATAAGGAAGAACTCCATGATAAGCACTTAGGTTCTAATCCTGGCTTCCTCTCTACTTCAGAAAAGTAATTTTTAACTCTTCTAATGTTTCAGTTATCACCTCAGCAATATGGCAATGTTTGCCCTTGTTACTTACAAGGAGATAATACAAAAGTTAATGACTGAGATAAAAAATACAGTATGAAACCTGTAACTTAAGTTTTATGTTTCAATTTGAATATTCAAAAGAACATATAAATACTTGTCCTCCACCAGTATTAAAGAAGATTTACAAAGATTAATTCTGTAATCTGTGCAGCAACCCAAATTATTTTAGAATATCATACTATCTATAAATATAAGTGATATTTTTACATACTCTAAACATTTAAGTAGATACTTATTTTTGATCAATAACTGTCAACATTAAACTTGAAAGACAAAACTAAAGGATTTAATTTTGCCAGTTCGTATATCACTTTCATGAAACCTCATGTGATAAAACCTCAACCCATGCCATCTGTGAACTTAGTTATTAGTTTATCTTATCTGTCTTTTTGACACATATACACAACTCATATAATACTTTTCAAGTGTGACTGATTAGTTTTTTTCCTCTAAACGCTGGTTTAGTAAAATTAAAGTTAAAGTTCATAATTTTACTTATTTGTTTTAATCAGTTCTAAATTAAAATGAGAAAACTTGCTAAATGAAATTGATGAAAAATCTTGTTTTCTGATTTGAATAACATTAAGAATTATTAAATTTCTACTAAGTTTTGATGGTTCTAAATCTAATTGTTCCATAGATGCTTGTTTAGAGCTAATTTCTATTAGGCACTGGAAACACAAAGATGAATGTTCATGACATTATCATGGAAGAATTATCATGGAATGTCTTACTGGATTTCTTAAAACTTGATAATTACTGAATTACTCAAGGGAAGTTTTATAATCCCATTTTCTTTCAAACTGTCTAAAATAGATAAAATATCTAAAAATATCAGATGTCATCCCATGTTTCTCACTTCATTGCTACTTGTTAATCATGCCTCTAAGGAATAATTATCCCTCCAAGGAAGCATTAAGGAATTTTTGTCCCTTTCTTAAATTACACTTGTTTTTTTTCTTCCTTTTTCTTTCTCTTGCCTTTTTTCCCCCTTCCTTCCTTCTCAGTCCTTTATATAAACTTTGGAGCATTTCATTCTTCCTTTGTAAAAGAAATACCTAATTCATTTAAATTGCTAATATTTTACAGAGAGTCAGCCTACATAGTGTTCCCATTTATTAATAAAATATGTACTGCCATTTATTAATAAAACATGTACTGCATTTGGAGGTATAGCATATTAGTTTTAAAAATGTTTTACAAAAACTTTATTATTATATGCTATTCTTTAGGCTTATTAGTATATTTATGGATCCTTTTTTTCAACTTTCCCCCTATTTCATTGTTAAAATTTTTGAGTGCCCTGTAACCTCTACCTGTGCTTTCTGAATACGTTTCTCTCCTATACTCTGTAATATTTGTCTTCTCTATTCTACAGAAACTCCTCTAAGAATACCAGCAACCTCCTCTTATTCAAACTCAAAGATTATCTGTCAATTCTATTTCCTTTCAATGACACGTATTCCTGTCAAATCTTAGTTCTTAACACTTTCTAACACTGACTTCCCAGATACTATGATTTCTCAGGTTTCTCACTATTTTTCTGACCATTTGGCTTCAAAACTAACCTATTTGGGGGCTCTCCTAATATTCAGTCTTTATTCAACAATTTTTCCTCTGTCTCCATGTGTTCTCTTAGGGGAATGTATCCAATCATAAGTTCTCAATTACCATGTGCATATAGACAATTCCCAAATAATCATTTTAACCTTAGCTCTTTATTCTTTTTTTTTTTTAACCCTCATCCAAGGATATTTTCATTGATTTCAGAGAGAGAAACATGGAACAGTTGCATCTCACATGCACCTGACCAGGGATTGAATCTACAGTCAAGGTTTGTGGCCTATCTGGGGGATCAAACCTGCCATCTTTTGGTGTATGGGATGACGTTCCAACCAACTGAGCCACCCAGCCAGGGCTCCTCTCTGTTCTTTGAAAAATTATCTTCAGTTATCTGCCAATGCTTCATCCAAAAGTCTTCATAATTAACTACTATTTCCAGTGTAAACTAGTATTTTTTTGCTAAGTTCCTGGCTGCCACCCTCACTGTTTCTCAAATCTCTGAATATTTCTCAGTTCCTTAAACTTTCTTCCAATTGTTAATCAAAACCACAGGTTCCTTCTCCACATTTTTTCTCACATGTGCATCTCCTCCCTCATTTCCATATCCAAGATTATAGGGTATCTAATGCAACTCTTCTTTCTCCTTTACTTTTACTGTTCATTGTGGTTAAATGTATATAATATAAAATTTACCATTTTAACCACCTTCAAGTGTATAGTTCCATGGCACCAAGAATATTCATGATATTATGTAAGCATCACCACCATTGATCTCTAGAACACTTTTCATCTTTCCAAACTGAAACTCTGTATTATTAAATAATAATGCCCTATTTTCCTTTTTAAAACTCGTTCTAGTTCTATTACAACTCATCCAAGATTTAATTGCCGTTCCCTTTTCAAACATTGAGTATTGCACTTTATTATTTATCAAATCAAAAACAATATTCTTTGAATGCAGTAGTTTAAAAATATTGTTGGTGTCAGTGTACTAATGCTATAACTATAAGAATCATTTTAGTCAGACATACTTCTAAAAAACAACAATCTGGATTAGAATATTTTAAAAAACATATATCACCTCAATTCTAATAATACAAATAAAAAGTTTCAAAATTCCAATACTGCCAAGATTCTACTACAGTTCCTGCTATTTGCAGAAAAACATCTCAACTGAACACTCTGTATTGAAAAATATACTTCTAAGTAAGACCTATAGTTAATCTAAATAATTATTTTATTTCACTGTATTTTAGAATTATAAACTAGTGTTAAATGCTTAATGTTTTAAAAGCCAAATATTCAACCCCACTAATTTCTGTTTTTATTAAATAATTCTATTTCATAAATTTGTCAATGTTAGTTCAGTTGACAGTTTTTCTTTTTTTGATTTTCTTTTAATAAATTTTCTTTTCTTTTCTTTTAAAAATTTTCTTTTTGTTTTTCTTTTAATAGTGTTTTCCCTATAAAATAGAGACAATAAATATCAAATCATTCTGTATATCATCTAGAAAAATGCAATGCACATATTGGTAATGTTTCTATATGACAATTATGATAGTGATTAAAAAGTCCTAACAAAAGGAGAATAATTATAAGCTCATTTGGTTGTTTCAAGTAAGCCTCAAAAAAGCATTTATGTCAAATGAATGTTCTTTCATTGAAAGGAAGGAAGAAAGGCAGGAAGGCAACAAGAGAGAAAGGAGGAAAAGAAGGAAGAAAGGGAGGGAGGGTGGGAAGAACAAAAGAAAGAGAAAGAAAGAGAGGAAGGGAGAGAGGGAGGGAAAAGAAAAGAAGAGAAGAAGAAAAAAGAAAAGGAAGAGTTATCCATTGGAACACTCATTGCTTCTAATTATTTATTGGGTCAATTCAGTACACAATGTAAGTGCAGGTTTTCAAATGCTCAGAGGGTGCATAAGGCAAACAATGACTGCTAAAGTAATCAGAGACCAAACTAAGCACAATTAGATAAGTTATTATGAGCAATTAATGAAATTGCACTCAGATGCAAACATGGAGTCCTTTTAAAAAGTTTTTCCTTCTGGCTAATAATATTTCTGAACACTAGATGGCAATAAACTAAAAGTTTAAATGAAAGTAAAAACATAAAAGTCGACTTACTTAATATAGATAGGAAAAGAAGCTATAATTACTTCACTTCAAATTCATATATCAACTTTTGGTAGCACATCTCTTACCTGGGAAGAGGTCTGTGCATCTCATAAATATCTCCCAATAGATTAGTCCAAGAGCATACATGTCTACTTGTTTCAAAGCTGATTCACAGTCCCTCAGGTTCACAGCTCCTTCTAGAACTTCCGGTGCCATATATCTGATTGTGCCAACCTGATTTTTAGAGCAATATTTTTTAGAAACAGAATGAAAGGCATATATTAGACAGAAGCTATACATGAATTCCATATCAACAATGTCAATGATAAGTTACTTTACCCTACCCATGCCACTGAAACTGTCTATACCAGATTTTTCAATCTATAAAATGTCCTTCTTGAATAAACTATGACAAGTATCCTACTGAACAGAACCAGTCCAAAAGAATGAGCTAGATCTTTCTATGCATATCAATATTTAAAAACCTGTAAGACACTGAGAAAACTACAAAACAATGTGACCACTATTTAATATTTTTAAAAATTCACAAAACATGAAATGTAAATATATGTATAGATGTTGGTATATGAACTCAGAAAAAGATCAGGAAAGAAATGCTCTACGTTGTAATAGTAATTATCAGAAGGAAACTGTCCTATTTCACCTTGATAATTTTAACCCTTGCTTCAAAAATCAGTTCCTACCAAAAGTTCCTTCTAATACTTATAAAAAATGAGGTAGAATGCCAGTGGACTTCCATAATGAATTGATGAACTTTATGCAGTGTCTTTTTAATTTTGTAATGCTTAATATGCCACAACTGGTAGTATCTAGAATAATTACCCTGAGTAGTTAGTGAATTCTCAAATGCAATTCATTATGTTTTCAAAGTATGCCCAAAGTGTGATACCTTTTGTATAAACTCACCTCACTTATGGCTGCATTATCTTCTTCCCCTGGGCGCACCAGTCTATTTCCAGTCAGCCTCATGGACAACCCAAAGTCACTAATAACACAGGTTCCGTCATTTTTCACCAGAACATTTCTGCTGTTTAAATCTCGATGGGAAATTGCAGGCTTATAATGATCTGTTTGGATAATTTCAAGTATTTATTTATACTCAAAGAGCACTATTGGATATAAAGTGAGCACCCAAGTAATAGGGACTACCACATAAATATAAAAGATAATGTTAATTTTCTACCTATTAATTTTCTAATAACAAAAAAGGACATAAGAAATCAAAATTTCAACTTACAATGTCACTATTTTTACTATATATATTTTATAACATAACTTCCGTTGTATGTATAATTAATTAAGCTTTAAACTTCAGCTGCAACTAATAGCCAACATGCTGCTGCTTCTAATTTTAGCACATATTTGTTATTTTCTCTTCATTTTATGGTAGCAAAAGAAGGCAACAGAGAAAGGGATATTTGGTATAAACAACAACAAAAAGTCAACATACCTGAAACAGTGTCGATAAAAAAAAAACTGACAGGCCTCCAAAATTTGTGTATGTCCCTTACACTTTACTCCTATGACTTAACAGATCAAACCTGTGACAGAACATCCCAGTTTTGCCCTGACGTGCAGCCATGTCTTTAAGCCCACCTCAGTTCTTCAAATCAAACTAGAAATAGTTTTACAACAGACTGGGAGAACAAGTGATGGAGCTGGTATTTCTCAGCAAGATACGAAAACCTGTTTTCTGACTTTACAGAGAAACAAAGAACTATTATGCTTAATCTATTACTTGTTTATCACTAGACTGAACGTTCCATGAAGGCAGAAAGAATGCATTTTTCCTGAATTCAAAAGGGTTGACACAGAGAAAATGCTTGCTGACTAAAAGAATGTACCTAACCTAAGCCCCTCATTAAAAACACCACATAATTTTTTCCTTTCTGTAAGGAAACTTGACATAAATCTTTCATTAGGGCCATAGCTCTTGAAATGAAAAAAAAATTATATAGCACAATTTCTAAATTTTAAAATAACTCACTAGTTATACAAAGAAATACAGCAATTTAAACAAAGTTAATGATGTTTATTGAGTATTTATATTGAGGCACAGATAGACTCAGTATTTATATTTATTATTCTCATTAACAATTATTAGATTGCAATTTTGCCAACAAGGAAACTAAAGAGAGGAAAATGATTCCTTTCTTATTAAAAAAAAAAAAAAAAAAGCTGGCTGGCGTAGCTCAGTGGATTGAGTGCGGGCTGGGAACCAAAGTGTCCTAGGTTCGATTCCCAGCCAGGGTACATTCCTGGGTTGCAGGCCATAACCTGCAGCAACTACACATTGATGTCTCTCTCTCTCTCTCTCTCTCTGTCTCTGTCTCTCTCTCTCTCTCTCTCTCTCTCTCTCTCTCTCTCCCTCTCTTCCCTCTCTAAAAATAAATAAATAAAATCTTTTTTAAAAAAAAAGCAACAGCACAACTAGAAGAAAAAAAACAGTAGTTACCAAGTTGCTTTATCTAAGAGTTGATTTCCTTTTTTAAAAAAAGATTTTATTTATTTATTTTTAGAGAGTGGAGAAGGGAGGGAGAAAAAGAGGGAGAGAAAAATCAATGTGTGGTCACCTCTCATGCACCATCCACCCCACCCACCAGAGACCTGGCCTGCAACCCAGGCATGTGCCCCAACCAGAAATCAAACTGGCAACCCCCTGGCTTCCAGGCCCGCACTCAATCCACTGAGCTACACCAGCCAGGGAAAAAGCTGATTTATTTTGCATTTTCTCCCCTTCTCATTTCCTAGGCCCACCTTCCAAAGCTTGTATTAACATGGCTCAACTCAGCCCCTAAATAAAGAGCTGCTTTTCTTATTCTGGATAAAACAATAACACAAATATATGTGGCATAATCTCAGGCTTATATTTATATAAGAAAACTTATGAAGACATTGTAAAATGTTTGTATAATAATAATATAAAATCAATACTTAAACTAAAAGATTTTACACATAAGGAAGCCAGGTTAATAATGGGAAGAAGATGCAGTGGCTCAGTGAGACAGCCAGAGGGAAAAATTGGGTAGTACATTCTGAAAAAAAGAAAAAAAAGAAAACAAAAGGAGAGAGAGAAAAATGGAGAAACCAGGAAAAGAGGAGAAGAGAAAATATGAAACAAGATAGAATTTATCACCAATGCAAAGGGTAAAACTATAGACTGTCCTTTTGAGACTTTTTTCCTTTAAAGATCTTCTCAGTATTCTTTTTAATCTTTTTTATTGGAGGTGAGATGTTACATAGAAAGGAGAATATACAATGATTTTTCCCTGGTGTAGCTCTGCACCAAATATCATAAAGGACAGTGAGGACATAATATTAATTATGATTTTTAAAAATCTAAATGAGAAAAGTTTCTGTGGACATTCATAGAGAGAGAGAGAATATGATACACAAAGGACATGGAAGGATATACATAAACTAGTTAATAGTAATTTTCTGGTTAGGTTTGAGTGATCTGTACATGATCTTTCTTAGATTTTTTGTGGTAATAAGTTACATTTTATATTATCACTAGGAAAATATTCATAGGGAGAACCAATTGCAAATAAATAGGTTCAATTCTGTATTATTCTGGAACAGCTGAATAAATAATAATAGCATTATTCCTTATTACAAAATTTCTATTCTAAATGGCAGTGTTGTATCTGAAGATACTGGAATGAACAGAGTTCTCTGAAAAAAAAAATGAAATAACCTTTTAAATGTTTTGAAATATTCAGACTTTTTAAAATAGTAAAGCTCTAAGTTCAAATAGCTACTAAACATATTTTTTGCAATAGCATGTATGTGTGTATACTCATTTTTAAAAAAGGTAAACCAGTAAAAATATTAAGTAATGTTTAAGAGTAAGATCTGCATTTAAATAAAACTCTTATTTGATGGCAATCATTTTTTCAGCCAATGTTTTCAACTTGAAACCTTGCTGCATCAGGCAAGCCTTGACAAGGGGGATTAGAATGGTATTTTAAGTCCTGTGCTAAGCCAGCTCTTTAAAGGAGCTATAATAATATTTAAGAGTAAGGAAACATAGTCCAAATGGTTAATGTGCTAAAGCACTAAAGTGAGTGAGTGCATCAAGTTGCTGACATAGGTAATGACTATGATCAATTCTGTATTCAGGAAAAGCAAGATGTCAAGATAAATGAACTGATAAATCATTCAGGAGAAATTATTTATATATGAAGCAGAAGCTAGAAAAGATGATCCATGCTATTATACAATGAAACAAAGATCTAAGAAATTGATATGTTAAGGATTTTCTTCACTACAGAGGTCAGAGGAACTGAAAAAATAATGTTCTGGGCTATAGCATGACAGGAAAATGCTGTAAGGCATAAAAGCTTAAGAAAACACAAAGGTAGATTTTTGCAGCAAAGCTAATTTAGAGGTACCTGTGATATGAGGTGTATCTTGAAACAAAGTGAGAAAGAAACTGTATTAAGGAGATGCTCTGAACAACTAGCAAAAATGTACATAAAAGCTGAAGAAAACCATAGTTCTGATAAAAAACATAACCCTATAGTTCTGAAACACTGGCAAAGACTGATTCCTCACTGTGCATTCTTCTTTTCCTGGTTAGTAACAGAACACAGTATTGTCTGAGCAATGAACTCAGCTAAAATAAAACAACTCTATACTCTCAGCATCCCTTGCAGCTAACTGTAGTGACTAAGTTCTGGGAAACAAAATATAAACATAAGAGTGAAACTTCTGGAGGCAGAAGACAGCAATTCCTTCTTCCTTCCCCTCCTTTTCCCTGCTTACTAGAATAGAGCATAATGAACAATAAGGTGACCTTAAAAATATAAGCCATATATAAATAATGGAGGAGAAATACAGGAGACTGGTGCTGCCAAATTTTAGACTGTCTCCCTCCAGATTCTTACAGGAGAAGGAAAAAAAATTATTCTTATTGAAGCCTGTTATTTTTCTCCTGATAGACTTGACCAAACCTGGCTCTGCGAAGCACTGACTTATAAAAAGATAAATTTAGGTTTTATACTAAAGTCCAACCAACCTATGGAATAAAGATCTATCTGAAGTTAAAACTAAACAAGTGATAATGTACTGTAGTTCACTTAAATAAGCAAAATAAATACAAGGAAAATATAATACAGCCTATTTAAGAGGTTCTTAACCAAGATTGACAGATGAATTTCTGAGGGCTTAAAACCCTCTAGAATCAAAAGAACATACTTAAAAGAATTGCCTATACATATATCTTTGCAGGGAGAGTGTTCAGAGCTTTAATTAAATTCTCAATGGCATCCATAACTCCTCTAGAGTCTTTAAGTTCTTTTTCTTATTCTTCCTATTAGATTTAAAATACATTTCTCATAGTAAATCTCTCAAATAGCTGGCTAATAATAAAGTTACTATAGATAATATATGCTTTTACTTTGATGATATGAATAAAATTTCTCTTTGTTAATCCTACTCTACATGAGTATCATTCATTCCCTCTTCATTGTCTTACCTCCTCGTGGTAATTCTGTATGAAGATAAGCCAGTCCTCTAGTCACAGAATGAGCCAGGCGGCATGAGCTTACCCAGTCACTTGTATGGAGACTAAGATACTTGCATAGAGATCCCTGTATAGAGGAAAAAATACAACAACAACAACAACAAAAATGGAATTAATATACTTGAACATAAGAAGGTAAGTTAGCAGCTTTATAAAGGATTTGCAGACATTAGGATTCCATGAAGATCTAATATATTATGACATTTCAGAATCTTGAAGGAGTTAATAAGACATTTCTGTGGGTACAGTGGAGGAGAAAATGAAAACACTTAAATGTAAAATTTTTATTTTTTCAACATTAAAAATTACGGTTATTTCATAAAAGAGTCGTTTAGACTCTTTCTTTACACAGTATCTCTTCCCAGTACAAATACAAATTATATTGTTATGTTTTACAAGCTCAAACAGGAGACTTTTGTAAGTATATGTGTCAGTGCTAATCAAGGTGCTCTTCCACAAACTATTTATTACCAATCATTCTGGGATAAGGAGCTTGCACCAGAATGAATGTCAGTCAAAGCACTGCTTCATTCATCAAGAAAGTCTTGTGAGGGGCATTTGTTGGGGGGGGTACTAAAAAGTTAACTAGTGACTTAGTTAATTCACACTCTGGTACAAGATCCTTATCTCATTGTATACCCTTAGTAATAACCAGTGTGCAAACAGGCAATGCTCTACTAAATAACTGATTGTTCATATAAATGCCAGTTTATATTTATTAAGAACTTACATTGGGATAATACTCCATCACAAGCAAATATTCCATGCGTCCATCTGCAGTGACTCTCTCATCTCCAACTATAAAGCGAGCAATGCTATCATGTTCCATCAAAGGCACTCTGTAAATGTTCTTCTCATTGATAAAATTCTGACGGTTTGCAAAGGAAAATACTTTTACAGCAACAGGACGCTCATCTAAGGAACCTTTATATACTGCTCCATATCGACCTCGGCCAATCAGCTGTAAATTTGTTTTGAAGAAAGCAAGGTATTAATTCAAATCACAATGGAACAATCAAATTTACTAAATAAAGTGCAAGTCTATATGTGTGCCATAGTTCTCTATTGCTCAAAGGTTAAATTACTCCATTATCAAGGAACTAATAAAGTGCACCTTTTAAAATATATGACTGAAGAAGCTCCTATTAAACCCAGCCCTCCCAAACACAGCAACTATAAACTCTAAAAACAAGTTGTAAAAAGAAACTGAAAGTGCTGGAGAATGAACAAAAGGAAATAGACTATGAGAGGAGTCAACACTGAAAAGAAAGGAATAGGATATGAGGATTTACCCAATTTTATAGCTTTTAGCCTGAAAACAGGCTGAAATCAGTTTTGTGCAGTGGAGCTAAAAACGCAATAGGAAATCCACAATCTCTCTGGCCCCAGGAACAAGAGGACAGAATTTGGGGTAACTACAGCTACAGGAAAGTAAGGAGAGAATTCCAGAAAGAAGAATCCAAGAGGGGGAAACTGAGTGAATGCATGGGACAAACTCCAGCCAGAGACAAAATAACTGAACTGAGATTTGAGCTTCTGCCTGCGATGAGTTTGCAGTATGTCTAACCAAGATAACTGCCTACTAAAACAAACATTGAAAGTGAACACACTTCAGAAGAATCTAAAGAACACAGGCTCTGCACAATATAACATTCACAATGTCCAGGATATAATTAAAAGTTACTTAATACACAAGCACAATGCAATCTGTTTTTTAATTTTTGGCTGCTGGAGCTTTCTCTTACTTTACTGAAATAGGTTAGGGATTTACCATAATCTATTTAAGGATATTTGTTATATTTCACTCAGTGTGTCTAGGTTAAAATTTAACAGATAGATTGTCCTTTAGAAAGGTTGTATGGTTAACAACCTTTTAACTATTCAACATATGGTCAAATCAGCAGTGTTTGAGAATGGTTCATTTACTCAGTCCAGGATAAAATCCTATGGTTTTAATAAATATTTCTTTTAATTTAGTGATTTGGACATCTAATTATAATACATATTTTAGCCACACTTCTATTGTGAATTGACAGTTCATCCTTTTTGTCCATTTTTATTAATTATTTATTTCATATTGATTTATATTAGCTCTGTATAAATTCTTTGTTTCTGTGTTGAATTTAGCTTTTAACTTTGTTATATTTTTCTCTCATATGGAAAGTTCTTAAAATGTTTTATATTATCAAATCTACCACATCTACTATTTAAACAGTCTCTGTAGTTTCAGGGCCATAGTTATCTATTATTTAACAGTCTCTGGTTTAGGGATCATAGTTAATTTATACTAATAAAGAATAAAACATTAATCATGATAAAACTTTTAATACAGACTCTGAGAAATTACCAAATGAAAATTAAACTCTATGGAATACATAATAGTCCTATGTGCCTATAAAAATATATACTACATGCACAGACAAGTAATATTCATTTTGCCTCTGCTATGGATTCCTTGCCTGGAACGTTCTCAGAATTTCATGACTTTATTCCCATACTTGAAAGTTCAAGTCTGTACTCAAAAGGTCATTTCCTTTCTACATATACTTTTTCTTAAATAACTCCCTTTCCATAGCTGTCTTATTTTCTTATCTGTTTTATTTTTCTCCATAGCACTTACTACTGCTTGATATAATATACATTTGTTTACCTGTTTGTAGATTCTCTCCTGCCAGAATATAAGCCTCAAGAGGGACAGCTGTACAGTTCAGCTACATTATCAGTGCCTAGAATAGGACTTGGCACTAAATTGGTACTCAATAAATGCTTGTTGAATAAATAAACAAATGGTTTAGTGAATGAATGAAGTCACTGTCTCAAATATGGGAGCAGAAAGAACAGTTCATAATCTAAGAACAATCTTACCTCCAAAAGTTTCAGATTATCTAGGTCAAGAGAGGGCTCTGATGCTGCTGCCTCCATCATGTTCATACTGTGAAGACCTTGTTTACGGTCTCCTATAGGAATAGACAAAAGAAGTTACTGTGTGCTTCTCTTAAAATGAAGATTTTATTATACTTTTTATTATATTCCCATTAAAAAGAAGAGCTACAGAATGGTAGGCAACAAGACTAATGCCTAATGTCAATGGGAGTAAAACTATTTACTAAACTAGGAATTATCTATAAATGAAGATGAATGATGACTAAGATGAAAGCTGAATTCTGTGAGATGATTCCAGGAACAGACTTAGTTTAAAACCTTACAGAATACTACCAAGACATTAAAGATAGTTTCATTAAAGTTATTCAAATTAATACATAAATGATTTCCTAAAAAGCTCATCAAACCTAAAGTTTATTAGAACCAACTGAATATTTGATGATACTGAGAAATTATTATTTTTAAGATGTAAAAAGGATATTGGGGTTATATATATATATATTTTAAGTCCTTCTATTTCAGCAATAATACTAAAGTATTTATAAATAAATGGTATTGTGATTTCTTTAAAATAATCCAGTGGCTGATTGTGGAACAGAAAGAAGGTATTAGTGGGAAAACTGGGGAAACCCAAATAAAGCCTGGTGTTTATAATTAATAGTGATGTACCAATGTTGATTTCTTAGTTTTGCCAAATGTACCAAGGCTATATAGGATGTCAATAATGGGTAAAGCTGTGTAATGGTATATGTACTATCTTTGCAACTTTTCTGTAAATTAAACTTTATTTTGAAATAAAATAATTTGAAAAAGCAAATTAAATTAAAAAGTGGCATAGATGAGTGTAGTGAGTGGAGCTATAGATGATATATAGATGTAATCACTGAAGCTGAGTGAGAGGTATTTTGTATACATTTGAAAATTTATAAACACTGAAGGAAAAACATTTATTAAGAGAGAAAGATGTGAGCTACTATAGCATGGAAATGTTTTTTAGCATAGAGATTTTAAAAAGAAGAAAATAAATTTCAATTAAATAGCATGTTTAATAAACAATAGAACAAAAGGTGACATTTTTACCTGTCAGCATCCTGTATCCAAAGTATAAGGCAACTATCAAAACAGCTAATACAGAGACTGATGCTAACGCAATGATTATTGTCTCATCTCGGTTAAATGAATGAGGTGGACCTAAAAGCAAACAAATTTTAAAATAGTTATTGTTAAAGAAGATGTGGTACATATAAACAATGGAATATTTCTTGGTCATAAAAAAGAATGAAATCTTACCATTTGTGATAACACAGGTGGACCTAGAGGTATTATGCTAAGGGAAATAAGTAAGACAGAGAAAGACAAATACCATATGATTTCACTTATATGTGGAATCTAAAAAACAGAATAAATGAACAAACAAAACAGAAACAAACTCAAATACACAGAACAAACTGATGGGTGAAAAAGATGAAAGAAGAAAGAGATACGAATTGGCAGTTACAAAATAGTCATAAGGATGTAAAGTATAGCATAAGAAATATAGTTAATAGCCCTGGCTGGTGTGGCTCAGTGGATTGAGTGCCAGCCTGTGAATCAAAGGGTCTCAGGTTTGATTCCCAGTCCAGGGCACATGCCTTGGTTGTGAGCCAGGTCCCCAGTAGGGGGCGTGTGAGAGACAACCACACACTGATGTTTCTCTCCCACTCTTTCTCCCTCCTCCTCTCTGAAAAATAAATCTTTAAAATAAAATTTTAAATATGAAAGGCTGTATCAATACATAGTCAAATCAGTAGTGTTTTTATATCAAAGGAAATATAAAAATATATTTTAAATATTTTATTTATTTATTTTTTTAGTGTGTGGTTGCCTCTCACACACCCCCTACTGGGAACCTGGACCACAACCAAGGCATGTGCCCTAGAGTGGGAATCAAACCTGCGACCCTTTGATTTGCAGGCTGACATTCAACTGCTGAGCTACACTAGCCAGGGCAAAATTAATAAACTGTTAATAACTGAAAATTATATATTTCATCATACAGCTTATTTTATATAGATTATATAGATTTAGAACACTGAAACACCTATTAGTTAGTCCTGGCTGGGTAGCTCAGTTGGTTAGAATGTTGTCCCAATATGCCAAGGTTACAAGTTTGATCTCCAGTCAGGGCACAAACAAGAAGCAACCAAAGAATGAATAAATAAGTGGAACAACTAATCCATGTTTTTTCCTCTCTCTCTCCCCCACTTCCTCTATCTAAAATAAATCAATTAAACAAAAACCTTATAGTTGTGCTCTCAATTATTAAAATATTAATTATAATGGAATAGCATAGATGGAACAGTATATTAAGAAAACAGTCTTTGGAATCACGTTTGGTTTTAAACCTTGACTCTACATCAGAGGTGTCAAAACTCATTTTCACCAGGGGCCTATCAGCCTCATAGTTGCCTTCTAAGGGCCGATTATAATTTTAGGACTGTATAAGTACAACTACTCCTTAACTAGGGGCAAGGAGCTCTACATTCTGCAACTGTGAGGCTGATGTGGCCCCAAGTGAAAATGAGTTTGACAACCCTGCTCTACATCATTCTCTCAGTAGCTTTTAGCAAGAAGCTGGTCAACACGTTTTTGTCTATTCACTGAGTAGTTCAAACCTTCTGTTCATTGAATTTTTGACTGCTTATCAATTACTAGAAAGTGGTGTTAAAATCTTCCATTATAATTAACAATTTGTCTCAGTTGTATCAATTTTTGGTTCATATGTTTTAAGGCCATATTATTAGCTATATACAAATTTTAAATTGTTCTATCTTCCTATTGAACTGAACATTTGTTACTATGAAGTGACCCTCTTTGTCTAAAACAAGCCCATAATAAATCAAATACACTTGACTATCTATATCTTAGAAGAATCATCAACATAGGATTATCAAATTATTTCTTTAGAGAGAACTAGAGAATAAGGGGTGGGGGAATGGACAAAACCATCTAGAAGATGTTCTTAAGTACAGTTAAACTGTTTTTGTGTAGTTGTGGGCTGCTGAGGCAGATAAATCAGCCTGATATGAAACCAAAAGGTCTGGGATGTTTATGAAAAGAAACTTGGGGCTGATCATGAAGTCAACAAGGATCCTGCAAACACTAGATTCTATAAGGAACGAAAGCAGCTGTGAATCAAAGAATGTTCCTCACATGTGTATGTCTGTTCAAACAGCAGTCTTTTAAGCTTATCTGTATGTAGTGGCTTTGTTAATGACACCTGTAAACTACAAAGCAATGCTAGCATCAGAAATATATAATCTGGTAATTTTCTTCTACAAAAGATCCCTACTTTATTCAGCAAAACTAACAAATATGGCACTACCTTTAAAATAAATCATGATATCAAACTCTTTATGGATGACATCCATTAAAAAACACACACACAAGGGCCAGCAATCTAAATAAAAAGCCAGTTATTCTACAGTGAAATTCAACAGTCTTTTGCAGTAGACATGCTCTTCTACTACCAAGAGGAAACTTAAAATAGTTGAGATGAGAAGAGCTACTTCCAGTCTTAAAAGTGGCAGTTAGCCTTGGCTGGTGTGGCTCAGTGAATTGAGTGCTGGTGTGAGAACCAAAGGGTCACCGGTTGGATTCCCAGTCAGGCACATGCCTGGGTTGCAGGTAAGGTTCCCAAGGGGGGCATGCAAGAGGCAACCAACTGCTCATTGATGTTTCTCTCCCACTCTTTCTCCTCCCTTCCCCTCTCTCTAAAAGTAATTAAAATCTTTAAAAAAAATGGTAGTTAGGCAATAAACAAAAGTTGTTGGGGGTATGATTTAAACACACTTCATAAGAACTTAAGTGCTGGTTTTGGTTGGAATAAAAGGCAAAACAGTCTTGAGTGATGTTTTCCTTTACATGGCAGATATACACAATCTATGAGAAAAAACTACTGGGATATAAATGTGTGATACTACATTCTACATTTGACCTAATTGAAAACATTCTTAAGCAGGGAGCTAGAGGCAGAGTCAAATACTGGGTACCTAAACCAATGGTGAGGAGCTAGAACTTAAAAGCTTGGAATAATCTCTATAACAGAAGACAGGGAAAGAGACCTCTGCCCTAGACCTGACTCAACTGTTAGCTGTATAGGTAGAAATGTGTGTGTCAGAAAAATCTCTTTGATGTGGACATACAGCAGCTAGAAAGATTTCTAAAATATGTGGATTCAAAAATTGCATTAATCAATTCATATACATGGAGTTTCTTTAACAAATATATCTTATATGTCCCATTGAATATTTTAGAGATATCTAAACAACACACTAAAAACTAAATTACTTATCTCCACCCAGCCCAAAAAGGGGGGCAATTTCCTTGTCTGTCAGTGCCATTGATAAATGATTAGTACAGCAGAGCTAAAAATGTCAGAAAAGAGGCCAATGAGTATCTACAATTAAATTTTAAAAAAAAATTTGAACCATTTTGTACAAAATACTGTTAAAACCAAAGTATACTTTTCTCCTGCTTTCATGAGTTAAATACATTGGAGCAATTTTTCTTTTTTTTATCCTCATCTGAGGACATTTTCATTTTCATTGCTTCTAGAGAGAGAGAGAGAGGAAGGGAGAGAGGGAGAAAGAGAAATACTGATGTGAGAGAGAAACATCCACTGGTTGCCTCCCATATGCGCCCAGACCAGAGCAGGGATTGTATGTGACAGGAGCAGGGATTGTACGTGACAGGACCAGGGATGGGACCCTCCACCTAGGTATTCCCTGATTGGGAGTGAGCTACAACCTTTAGGTTACAGGACAAAGCTCCAACCAACTGAGCCATACCAGCCAGGGCTGAAGCAATTTTTCTTCTACATGATTGGGGACATAATTTTGAAAATCAATTAATTTATGGGGATACTCTCAAAGCCTATTTGAGATTGTCAGATCATTATGTTTTTACAAATTACTGAAAATGATTTTCACTTTTTCCCTCTCATCTTTTGATATTTGTGATGTTGCCTTAATGTGTTTTTTTTTTTATAATCTAATTTGGGCTTTAAAAATAGACGACCTAACCTGTTATAAATGAATGTAAAGAATACAGACTAAAAAGACTAAGGGACTTTTCTAAATAATTAAGAGTTTTAATACAAAAATTCTGTAGCATCCATCTTGGCTGATTATAGTGAAGAAACTTCAATAGCTACAGGCTTGGTACTGTGGTAGTTCATGAAATTAGACATTATCAGAGTCCACTTAAATTCTGATTCCCAAACATATCTTTCAGTGTTTGGTATGAGAAATTGCTAGGATGTCAAAAGGTCTGCACTTCCACAATGCAGCTATTGGTGCTTTGCAAGGGGGATAGGGGAAGTGAGGATGGTCTAGTTGGCCTTTTTTGAGAACACCAACATGTGTGCTATCCATGCCAAATGTGTAACAATTAAAAATGTTGCAATGAACAAGTTTCAGAGTTGTTTTATAACAACTATAAATAAATAAGCTTGTAAAATGTTTCTGGACAATGTCAGAAACTGGTTTTAGAAAAGTAAATTTCTTAATGACAGCATAGAGTAGATTCCATCCACTTACTATACTTTTCTGAATTTTCCTACATGCAAGAACATTTTTGTAATGTTTGTCTTCTGTGCTCTTCCTATAACTTTGCTACTGAAATATATTAAACTGCTTTAAAGAAGTTGGTTATACTAGGTGACTTTTAAAGTCCTTTTAATCTCAAAATTCTGTGTGACTTTTCTAGTGTTTCTTGAAGCCTCAGCAGTCTCTTTGATTTTATTTGCAAATTTACAAAGAAAATGCAACATAACTTTTACATAAAAATATTCATTAACCCCAAATCTGCAATGGAAAACATTAATTCATATACAGGAAAGTCTTAAGTATATTTTTAAATATGTTTAAAAACCATGCTAATGGTTAAATACTTCAAATGGAAAACTTTCCAGGACATGTGACATGGTCTAAAAATATGAAGTCCCTGAAAAACTGCCAGCAAAAAATATTTCAATGTGTATTTACATATGTGTACAGTAAAAGAGGCCTTAACCAGGAAACTCCTAATTTTTGTTTTTTGGGTTTTTTTAAATTATTTTTCTTTTTTACATACATATGCTATACCTGAATTGTTTTGTTTCCCTAGCTCATAAACCCTTTTCTTCCTCCCTTTTAGTTTTTTCAGTTAAC